TAAAAAATACAAAGATTTGTAATGAGAACATAAAGATTTTTCGGAAGAAAGATGTAGAAGATTTACATCTAAGAGTTTTATCCGAGTTTATTGAAGTATGGATTTCAAAACTCTCTTATACAATTCCTACGATACAACAATATTTTGCATATATAAGACCTAACTTAACTAAAAAAGAAATTAATTCTTATACTGGACAACATGGTGAAGATTTTTTGTATGCCTATAAAAACCAGTACACGAAGGGAATATTAAATAATAACGGTAAAATTATCCCGAAAACAGGTAACCAGCATAGTAAATTTTCTTCTGCTTCTGGTATACACAGGAGTAAACAGAAATTTACTTCATCATATGTTGATAGTGATGATATGAATGATGATGAGATAAATGATGATGATGATGAGATAAATGATGATGATGATGAGATAAATGATGATGATGATGAGATAAATGATGATGATGATGAGATAAATGATGATGATGATGAGATAAATGATGATGATGATGAGATAAATGATGATGATGATGAGATAAATGACGATGACAACGACGACGATGTCGACGACGATGTTGAGGATAATGAAAATGATGGTGAGGTACACGTTAAATGTGTACCCTATAAAAGACGATTATATAATAGACCCCATTAATTTTTAACAAACAAAAATTTTAATAAATATAGTACATAAAAAAATATAATTATAAGGATAATAAATCCACAAAACAAAATTTTTTTTTTGGGAATATCAGTCCATAAAGATGATTGAAGAAGACCATGACCTATTTGGCTTAGAGTATCTCCTGTCATTTCACCCAATGAACGTAAAATCGTACCCTTTTCACAACGGTACATGAAATTTGGAGAAGATGATGATGACGAAGGTTCCTCCCATTGATAGTAACCAGGAACCCATGAAGATAATGAATTATAATTATAAGGATCACAAATTCCTTTACATCCCATATTAAGAATACCTTCTGTATCTTTTGTTCGTAAAAATGTACTAGGTTGAAATGAACAATCCTAAGCGTAAATTTCGACAGAGGATGACTATCTGGAGGAAGAATGTATATGCCTCTTGTGTATTTATTCCAATTTCCTCCATTATTATCACAATATCTATCTATATATACATATTTAAGAATACCTTTTTGTTGTGTATTTACTTCGTATCGAAAACATCCTGTATTAAGAGCATTATAATGTCGTAGAAAATCTATAAAGGTGCTGGCAACTGCAACGACTAAAAGAGATTTTAAAATACTCCCTGGATTTTTAGCAGCCCACTCTTTAAAGGTTTTAAAATTTTATTCAATTTACTTTTTTCTAGAGGTGATGATTTAAAATTATCTATAAAATCCCTAAATTCAATTTCATTTTTAAAACCCAAATCTTGAGCCATTTTGTTACAATTTTGAATATATTTTGAATATGTGTTGTGAGGATAATTTAATATAATATGCTCTCTGGCAGAATTATTTGTAATATCTCCCATAAGTATCTCTTGAAGAGATCTTTGAAAATTTGTAGAGTTTTCAAGTTTATTTAAAACTTCTGTTTTAAACAATATCCCTTCTTTTGTTTTTAAGGGTTGTAAATTTATACTCTCTTTAAGTTGTCGGAGTCCTGTCGTCATACTCTTTTTAAAAATACTAGTAACAAAGGGTTTAAGTTCTCTCTGAAAAACTAACGGTTTTAGAACCAGTTCAAATTCTTTAATAGCTTTCATTTTTTAAATTATAAAAAAGTATTATCATCACACAACTGTAATGTTTTAGTAATATATACATTATATGGAGAAAATCGATTGTCTTGAGAGATGTATGAACAGAAATCAAATAATTGAGGTTCACTTTTTACAATTTCTAAAAATTCTGTAGGATTATTAATAACTTTATTGTTATAGATAAACATTTTATTTATTATATTTCTCTTTTGCGTAATTTTTAAGGAAAAATTAGCTATTAATTCACCAATTAATTTTAAGTTAGCTTTATCAATCCATAAACCAGTATTAAAATTTGGAGTAACTAAATTCGCAATTACTGTTATTCCATCTTTATGTTCACCAATTTTTTGTTGAAACTTATAAAATAAATTGTATGTATCTTTTTTTCCTATTAGAAAATTACAAAGTATGTTTTGGGGAGATAATATTTTTTGTCTTAACTGTAGGGAAAATGTTGTCGGAGGTATAAATTGATTAATAATTACATCATTATCTGTGTTGGTAGTATAAACTGACATGACCACTCTAAAATTGTACGTATTATAGTTATTATTACTATTATTACTAGAATAAAGTTGAAGAAGTGTTTCATTAAGTTTTTTTATTTTATTTAATTCAAATATTCTATTTATGTCATTAACCATTGAATAATTTGACGGCAACGGCTTATAATTCATTTTTTTATTTTTTTCTTATTTACAGTATATAAAAATAAAGTTTAGAAATTATTTACAAAATAGCTACAATGAGTTCATTTGATGAGGAGGTTTATGAAAGTGAAAACAACATGTCAATAACAACTAATTCTAATTCTAGTATCAGTACAACAAATAATTATAATTATTACATGGTAATTTCTATAAATTATAATAAAAAAATTAATAGAGACAGAGACAATGATATTTTGTCGGTGAATCATATATTAACAGAGGCATCTGTTGCAATTGTTGATAAAAATTTTAACATTGTAAACGACGACGATGATGAGTTGCACTATTCTATACCAGCGACGGCTTCTAGTGATGAATATGAAAATAGTATAAGGGAGTTCAATTCTGATATTGAAAAATTAACTTATAAATATGATATTATTTGTGCTTGGGTGTACGGTGACAATAAAATACTACGTCAACTGTCCAATTTACGATCGCTTATAGTTTGCAATATAAAAAATACTTCCATTTTCGGTTTTGGGGAGGAGATTAATTTAGAAGTGAATTATTTGGATACTTGGGAAATGTCGTCTTTATATAAGAACATTAAAACTTTACAATTAAAAAAGAGAAACAGCATTTTCTGTGGAAGTTACAATAATGTATGTCAGTTAATTTCCAAAAACTTTATTATTGGATTTGATAAAAAATTAAATGTTATGAATTTTTATTCAAATGAAATTCGACCAAATGTGACAGACCTGTTATGCTCTGTCCAAAAATCTTTCCTGTACCCGTCTAAATAGTCAAATTAATCGTTTAACTCTCAGTTTAATAAGGAGCTTTTCAATTGATTACGATAAAATATATACAAATTTAATAAAAACTAATCACATTACAAACAGAGAAGAAGAACATAATATTTTACGTAATGCTAGAAATATATCACTATTGAAAGCACAGGCATTACTATTGAGTTTTGCTTTACCCGAAAACATTATTTGGGAATTTGATAATAGAATTAATGTTACTATAATGTACGAAAATAAACAGATTGATTTCAAAACCCAAGAAGCTAAAGAATGGATTCAAAGTCACGTAAATAATTTTAGTAATACAATAAGAAAAACAAAGTGCGTTACTCAAAATATAGATATGGAGAAAAATTTAAATCACTTTTTAAAATGGACTCCACCACCACAATAGTATAGTGTGTGTGTATCCTTTATCCTTTGGCTGCCTGCTACTTAGTATTCATTATACCACTTTTCTATATTCTCTTTAGAATTATGCCACTTTTTTATTTCCTGGTGAGAATTTGAAGATAACCACTGTATCAGTTTCTCTTTGTAGTCTATATTTAAAAAATATTTGAATATTTCCTTACATTTATTTATTGAAAGTATCTCTTCATCATTAAATAATACCATATTATCATCATTATTCAACAATTCAACACTCGTTATAATGGACAATGTAGTATCTACCAATTCAATAAGTATTTGTGAAGCAGACATATTACTGCTTAAGTTTTTGATTTGGTCATCGTCAAATATAATTTCATTTTTTAATCCATTATATTTTCTAAATTTATTATATAACATATTGTATCCCCTAGCAGGTAAATAAGTACGGAATATCTGAAATACTTTTCTCCTCTCATTCTCATTATTTATAATTAAATTTTCTATTGTTATTCGCTTTAATCTATATACTTTTTTGAGTATTTGCATTATACAAAAACGTTTATCTCGTCTTAATAATACGTCAGCTATATTTAAATCTGGTATTATAATATTAAAATTATTTATATACAATAAGCTAGACTGAATTTTGTTTTTTGTTTCTTTAGTTAGGGCTTTTTCATTCAATTCGTACAATACGCCAAGTGTTTGTATTTTAAATATGCTCATTAATAATCTTTTTTGTAAATCACTGATTTTATCAGATAAACTTAAATATGATTTAACATTTTCTATTATGGTTGAGTCTGTTATAGTTAAAAATTTATTAATTTTTTCACTTATATTACATAGACCAGTAATCATTATATCATAATCTGTTCCTTCTGTAATTTCATCCGATATATCTGATATCAAATTGTCAATATATGTAAGATATCTTATTAAATCCTCACTTTTTTCTTCGAGTAATTGTGGAAAAGAAAAAGAAAGAGGTTTTTGAGTTATCATTATTATTATAATAATAGCTAATGCTAGTGCAAATGTTATAATACATAATATCATATTTCCATCCATTTTTTATTAATTATATAATATATAACGACAGGCAGGGTTCTAAAAATTATGGGATAGGCCAGACAAATCGACCGACCGACCGACTTCGACTGACAAAAAATATAATTTTAATTTTTAGATTATTTATTTTAAGCACAACGATATGACCGGACATTCGAGGCCGAGGCGAGACAGGTAGTTGTCTATCTGTCTGTCTGTCTGTCTGTCCTTCCATCTGTCCAACCCACCCACCACCATTATATATAAAGAAGAGCACGCACAACGATATAGCCGGACAGACACACTTTGACATTTAGGAATCCTATCTGTATCAATCTCGACGGACTAAAAGGAAGAAGATGTTTCGGTACGGTAACATGTCTAGAAATATGATAACAGTACCAAGTGAAATTGCAAGGAAAAGTTATCTATACCTTAAAGAGAAAATATCTTCAAACAAAAAAGCAACAATTGTAATAATTGGTGGTTATTTCATAGTTGTGTGTCTAATAGCGGTGGTGGTGACTTTTGTAACATGTAACTCTGCTGTGACAGCAAAGAAAGAGGGTTTGTTTGTCATTCCTTCAGGAAATATAAAGTTTAATCCTAATCAGAAGAGTACGTATGAAGAGGAAATATCTTCTCTAAATCAATTTTTTATAGACTACTACAATGCTACCAAAGCTGATGATACACAGGTGATTAGATGTCCCCTAGGATTTGAACCAAATGCTACACAAGTCTGTATTTTGCCAGAGCAATACTTACAACTTGATTGTAATCCAGAAAATGTTTGGAACTACAACACAACAGCTCCTTGCATCATATTGTCTTACAATGGGACAACTAAATTTGATCCTTACGATGACATTGAGGAATTACCCAGCCAGATGCCCGATATACTTAAAGAACAAATTAAAGAGTTCGGGTACTTCTATAATAATACCATGCTAGAGGTTATATGGGTGTCTTGCACATCCGGAATAATTTACTCCTACAATCTTGGTTTCCCCAAATACTTCTTCTCCAATACAAACCTACCAGGCTATCGGAAACCTATAGTTGTATTGCAGCTGAATCTTGGCAATGAAATTAACACCATAGTTGAAATTACTTGCAATATGTGGGCCAAGGGTATTGACAACGAGAAAAACTCTGAAACATCAGTCAAATTCACTGTAACCGTGGGAAAAAATTACCAAGAAATTTAACATGCGTGCTGGATATATATGTCAAACAGTAAACCTACTCTAAGGCATTTTGTTCCTGTTTGTTTCAATAATCCTTATTCATTATCAAGTCAGTGTACAATTTGTCTCTCAGTTTTTTAAGTAAGTTTTGTTTCAAAAAAATAAAAATTATATTCTCATATATTTTAGTAAACTTTTAATTAAAGTTGATTTATATAATAATAATAATGTTGTTTTTGTATCACTTCCCAAATATTTATAATATTTTATACTAGCAATGGCTTCGATTATAACTAATTTTAAAAGAACATTAAAATGGTGTTCTTTAATTACATCAGTACATCCAAATACTTGAATTATAACAGACTCATCACCTAAAGATCGATTTCTCCGAAATTTTTTATATATACTCAAAATATTATTTTCATTTTCCATTATAGATTTTAAAATAATTTCTCCTTTAGATGGTGTCCAACAGGAAACTAAACCAACATTATAGTCACTACCAAAAAATATGAAATGTAAAATTAAATATCGGAGACATTGATCACTATTGAACCCCATATGTTTTATCATTGAATTATAATTTCCTAAACCAATTGATTTTCTATTATTAGTACCGAAGGAAGGGTGGATGAGTAAGAGTCTATATTCATTACGTAAAATAGTCATAGTAGTAACATCAGAATCACCACTTATAATTACAGAAAAACTATTATAAATTTCATTTTCAATAAACGTTT